TATCATATGTCTTCAAACATGTTATGTATATATATATATACATACTTTATAGACTTTATAGATACTTTATACTGATTTATATTTGCCATAAACATCCATATAAACCCGCCCTAGTTTTTGTTGTTTTTTGTTGAGGTTCAAGTCAACTGCGCTAACAAACTCGGCCATCACCTTGTATGTATACATATATGTATATATACACACACTGGTTAGTCACTCATTGGTGCTTTCAACCCATTCACAATATACTAGTCAATTTGGATCATCATCATCCGGATGAATTATGATCATTCACAACCTGAAATAAAGCCTTTTGAGGATATGTTCCCCTATCGAAATCAACAAACCATCATTCCAGTGACCAGGCAGCGAGTTCGTTCACGCATACATATATACATAGTAATATGATTTAATGTGTATGATGGGACATTTGATGGTGATGCAAGAAGCATACAATAGGAATAACAACCAACTTGAGATGATATTTTGTGACCTCCTCAGTTTCTGGTGTACCTTGTAGCCGCGGTCCAACTACCATGGCGCTATGGAAAGTCCCCAAGTTTGATGATTTACCTACTAAGAATGGTAATTGATGGTAATTGATGGTAATTGTCCATATGTTAGTTTACCAGAGGCTATTCATTTTAAGTTGGTTTAAATGCCACTGTCTTGGTGAAATATAACGCTCTGTCATGGTGTGTCTGAACAGAACGTTCGTAAACACGTGAAACTGCGGTTCTTAAAGGAAACACTGGGATGGTACCACACCCATATAGATCCATAGTGAAGTCATAATGTTTCTTGGTGAAACTCTACAAAGTGGTGTTCCATATTGTTCCAAAGTGTGCGAATTAGGTTGGTTTCAAGCTAGGCTCGGATCTATGGTACCTGGTAGAGATATCTTAAATTGGCACATGGGATTTATGTGATTTATACTTCAACAAACATTAAACTGGGGGGCACCACTTTGCAAATATACCCTCTGGTAAACATACAAAAAGCTATTGAAAATGGGCATTTATAGTGAGTTTTCCCATTAAAAATGGTGATTTTCCATAGTTACGTTAGTTTACCAGAGGGTAAAGTTATTGTACCCAAAAAAATGTTCGAACGCATGAGTTGTAGGTAAAAACAGTGCTCTCAGCATCTCCATGAATCAAAATATCCGCAACTTTTGATTCCCTGAAAATACTACACCCTCCAACAAACATTAGCATATGGAAAATCAATGAAAATCACCACTTTGAATTGGTAAATCAGTAAATCATTGATAATGGGACATGTTCAATAGCTATGTTAGTTTACCAATAGCTATGTTAGTTTACCAATAGCTATGTTAGTTGACCAGAGGGTATGTTTGAAAAAAAAACTGTACCATTTGATCGGCGGTTTATCCCATTCTTGTTGGGTTTCAACATGTGAAACAACCCTCCAAGGTGGTGCAGGATTTCGCTGGCCCAGAAAAACAGTACCGTTTCTTATTTAAGTTGGTTCATAACTATCATAACTGTGGAAGAAATAGTTGGTTAATAAATGTTAATAACTCTTATTTTTTTAATATTTTTTCCAACTGTTTTCTCCACGTTTGTTGGTTACCAAGTTAACGAACCAACAGCAGCTTTGCCTTGATACCGGCGAAGGCCTCCTGTTCCGCCTGGGAAAGACCGCCGTTTGAAACAGATGAATTTCCCAGCGACAGAAACCTCCATTGATTTCAGGGATTGTCCAGTTCGCTATGTTAGTCATAACCAGATGCTAAGTATAGCTTGGTTAAATGTGACTTAGCTATGCTAAGTCAATTACCTGATTTACATCGATACATCGATTCATGTTAGCTAAGTATAGCGAGTTGTGACATGTGGCCATACGTTTCCATATGTTTCCCAGATTCGATCAAGATGGCACAAGTGCCATGAACAAATTCTGTCTGGTGACTGGAATAGATCGAGGTGCGAAACAGTCAGTGAACCAATGATTACTTTTTTGATTTGGCTTGGTGGCTTGGAATCCAGTCCATGATCGACGCGGTCATCACCAAGAGGCAGATGTAATTGGAGGATGTCAAACCGCCAAACCAAGTCACAAGTTTGCGATGAAGGACTGGAGAAATTCTGTAGGAAAATATGGCACGGAAACAACTTGATGTTGACACTGATGCGTGTATGCAAATATATTTTGAGACATTTTAAAACAGTTTGGTGGTGACTTTTTTTGAAAACTACCACAGCAGCAATTACTGGTTGCATGCATGAATCATTCAACACCATGCTTTGAGGCGACAGCCTTGCAATGGCCACTTTTCAACTTCGAAAAAACACTTTGAACAGCCGAATAGCTTTGTATAGTGCACATCAACATGTGAATATTATATATCAATCTGTGTATATCTGCATGGTACTTATGTCAATATATATATATTATGCATATGCAGTTATACAGTGTATATATAGATAGAGAGAGATCACCCGAACACTGCCATGCAGGGCCCCAAGTGTTTCCGGATGCCAACCACGCTGCCATGCCTTCGCTGGAACTTCGGATTTCTCCTGGCATGGAGGGCCGTGTGTTCCAATATGGGAATGGGTCAAAACCTATGAATTCATAACATGATATTTTAAAATGGTAATTTCATGTAATTTCAACCCCTCTGAAAATTGGTGAAACATGGTGAAGCTATACAACGATATCTGGTTGGTGGTTGAGCCAGCTACCCCTCTGAAAAATGA